AAGGGCCATTTTCCGAAGTTCTAACCAAATTTAGTATATGGTGCAGTAATACCACACTTTAATAGCATGTGATGACTATCATGTAAAAGAGCCCCTTAATTTGACAACTTTCATCCCAGTGTAACAAAATTCAAATATATAATTTGTGGCTAGATGCCTTAGGCAAAATTAAGCTTCTTTCCATCTTTCAACTATTACAAAACAAAAAAATTATTACATTAATACATTGAAATGTTAGTAACAAGACTTACTACCAAGAACTACCATTTTCAGGTACATATTTAAATAAAGGGGAGAACAAGAGCTTACATGCAATGTAATTGCATTTCTATACCAGGCTATATAGGATTGGTGTTTCTCCACCAAGTCACACTGGTACAACTCTGACTGGTTTGATGAGAAGTCTTTGCTCCAAAACCTGGTCTCCCTAGCTTGCCTAGGCCAGAAGTGCAGCCTGCACTCACTGCTTTGTTGTTCCAGTCCTCCAACCCACTTAGGCAGCCTGGCAGTATCCTGCTGGAGGGGAAGGGGGGAGGAGAGTTTACCCATTGGTGCCAGACAATCCCAATTAGCTTAGGCCACTGACTCCCACAACTCCTGAGCTCAAGCTATCCACCACCCTCAGCCTCTCTGGGAGCAGAGAATATAAACAAGGTATACTTGTTTATATCAAGTATACCTGAAAAAATCATCCTAAAACATCTGCCCTCTAAGCGTATTTTTAAAACACTCTCCCCCATTATTCAAGAAACTTCAATTCCTTCCAAAGGACCAAAGGACAAAAGGACAAGGACGGACAATTCATCAATTAAAAGTAGCAAAAGTGAAGTGATTGAGAACCTCCCCTACTAGACTAGAACCTCCAGGAGAGCACAATGCCTATTCAGTTATCTTTGTAGCTTGCAGTGTCCTCTGTAGAAAAGCTTTGTCTCTCCCGATCAGCTAACTGATTGTAATGCACATAGGTAGTGCTAAATGTATGACTCAGAATGAGAAGGAAACTCAAAAAATATCTGCAGAAATCTTCTTGGACACGCTAGCAGCAATTTAACCTCCAATCTGAAAATATATTCACAGCCTATTATCTTGTTTCCTGCAACTGTAACTCAATACTCTTAACTCATGGGGGGGGGGGTGTCAAGCAAAAGTACAGTAATAATTTTTACACATGACAGTTCTTCAAATAACGTTTTCTCTTCCCCAAGTATTTCCAATCCCTTCATCTTAGTCTTATCCCTTAGGTCCCCTCCAAATTGGATATTATTTGTAGTTGAGCAGTATTATAATCTGCTTCTATGCATCAATTAAGGCAGCGTAAAGCTCAAATAAGCTTTTTTTTTTTACCTAACACGTCACACGGTTGACTTATAATCATCGTGCTAATTCTACCACCTCTTTTATTTTTTTAAACAAAAGCTTGGTCATACTTCCCCTAGACCCCTTCCTCCAACATCTTGATTTGATGTAACTGATTCTTAAAACCAAATGAAGGACTTTACATCGGTTCTAATGACATTTCATCACATGAAATTCAGCTTAATGATCGTCTGTTGAACTCTTTCTGGATGCAAAGTTATCATCCATTATTCAGATTCACATCATCTGCAAATTGATAAGCATGCTTTTGCTGAAGTCCCAGATTATGCTGAACAGAACCAGACCAAAGGTGGCCCATGTGGCCTTCTCCTAGAGAAGTCCTTCCAGATTGAAACTGATCCATTCTGGAACTGTTCAATCAGGTTACAACCCATATTTTGCATGCAAGAATAACATGGAACTATCAAATGGGCTGCCAAAAAAATCCAGGCATATTACAGCTAAGACTTTCTCCTAGTAACACTATCAAAAAGGTAAAAACTAAGTTGGTCTGGCAATTTCTTGTCATGCTGGCCTGTAAGTATTCACAGGTTCCTTTTCTAAGGGTTAAAAAAATCATACATTAACCTTTTGCCAGAAATAAGTCAAGCAATGTTTATATCTGCCCTTCTTTAAATCCTGTGGGACCTCCTCTAGTCTTCTCAATTTTTCAAATATTTTCAAAAAGCAGTTGAACATTCAATGTAACCTTAGTAGCTATGAACAGTTTCACCAAGATCTAGTGACTCATTTAGAATTAGGTGCTCTTACATTTAAAGAGGAAACCACCTTAGTTTGGCAGTTTTGTATTTAAAATATTTAAGTCTTCATGTTTAATTCCCAAAATTGCAGAAAAATACCTCCTATAAGTGGAGGCCAAGTAATGAGCTACAGATTATAATGCTGTAATAGCAACATTCCAACACCACTTCAAAATCCAGGTATTTAGGTCAAGTGAGGAATTTCCCAAATGTACTACTCTAGCAACACAATGAACACAGAAAAGTTACCCATCTACACAGACATACAAGCACCCATCTCACCTCCTTCAATGCACTTAGGACTAGAATCCAAGCGTCCTGGTGTCCAGTCATTTTCCCTCTTTTCACTATACCAGATGTCTACCAATTTAAGCCTTAGGCTTTCCAAGACCACCCACATATAGATAGACCTTCTGTGGTTAATTTCTGATCCCCTTCCAAATAATGTTCTAGGTTTGTCCATCTAAATACAATCTCTAAATTTGCTCCACTTCATATATCTCAAGTCCAACCTAAAGAATTTTAACATGGCTTTTAATAACACGTTTTTTGGTGATCCAGAGCATTTATTACTGTGGTACTACGGCCAGTATTTATATCCTGGTCAAATTCCAGGAAAGCATTGCCTAAAGTTTAACATCTTTTTTGCTACAATGTAGCCCACTTAAATTTCCCTATTCACAAAAACAAAGCTTTTCACAGTGGCAAACCAGTAAGACAACACCGCTTTCCCTTGTATTACATTTAACAAATGAGCTCGATTTATATATGATTTACCAACTGTTAATTCTTCTAGTTAGTAGAATTGAGACTTGGCCCTTTACAAAAAGACTGGAGGCCAGGTCACTATAACTATCTAGAGTTTAATTTAGGACAAAGCAGTAGCTGAATCCAAGTCCAAATAGCAGCCTAAAGACTACTAAGACTACTCCAGGACTCCGCTGAAAGTGTTTCAATGAATATGATTTACTTCTCAAACATTCAAAAGGAAGTCTGCATTTGCAAATAAACAGTAAAATGAATGTGCCACATGTAAACACTAGTAGTCTAGTAGTCTACCCCCCCAAAAAACTCCAAAAACCCGAATCTCAATGTTGAACACCTGTAGAATGCTTTATCCAACCTCAGTAGAACTTCCCAGACAACTTTTCAACTAAAGGTCTAGAACAAGCTGCTTCAGCAATATCAGTGAAAGTGGATAAATCACAAATGGAACAGCTGAGTAACTGCCAAATCATTTCCCCTAGGAAATATTCTAACAAATGCCCTCTCAAAAGGAAATGAAAAATTTGCCAACTATTCCCTTCTCTCTGAGACTCACCTGAAGAGCTGAAATCAGTAAACATTTAGGTCCTACTAGGTGCCAAGCACTGTGATGGAGCACCAGGGAAATGAAACCAAAAATATTCTCTGGAAATATAATTTATAGTCTACCAAGATTATGAAGCCATTTGAGTTTCTAAGATCATTTCTACATATTTTTGACTGGACAAAATTTAGGGCATTACGTTTTACTTTTTGGTGGACTTTTAAATAACACCGGCATATTACAGCCTTTTCCCTGAAGTTATAGGGTAAGAAGCAGAAATCCTAGAAATGAAGCAAGAGGAAACAGAAAACAGCATCCCAATTCTGTTTGGAAGTGGGCTCTAATTACATTCCATGCGTTGGACAAAAGTGAGGATAGTGGATTCTCCTTTATTCCAGCCAAATCATTAGAATATCCACAATTAAGGAGGTCTCTTGTCTTTTGGTTCTTTCACTCAATCACAAGGTAAAGATGAAAAGGAGCAGTACTTTTACCAGCTCTAACAGGCCTTTCTTTCACTTACCAAGTGTCCAAACTGTGAAAGAAAGCCCGTTCCCTAATTCCTAATTCACTATTCCTCAAGAAGATGGAACTACTGGGTAAGAAACTAATAAAATATTCTCATGCTGCTGAAGTGAAAAACTGTTATTCAGCTAATCCAGAATCAGCACCACTTTTACAGTTTACACATCTGTTGAGGACCTTATTAAAATGCTCAACAATGTCAGGTTCATAAAAATATGCCCAAGTTTCTCCCCCATTCTTATGCCTTTTCTTTCAGAGATCCCGATTCCTCACTTCTTCCCCACACACAAAACAAATGTTTAAAAACCTGAGATTCAGCGTAATCTAGTAGACAAAGCTACTCTACTAACCCAACAGGGAGAAAACTTGAGGACCAGAAGTTGTGATACTAGGGAAATCTCAACTAAAACCCTGGACCCCATGTTACTAAACCAGTGCTCTTTTCACTATTTCACGCTGCCTCTTAAGACTAACAGCAGCATTTTTCAGATAAAATCAAATAAGAATGAAATGTAATAGGTAGAGTTATTTATTTTTAAAGAGACTGCAAGTAAAACATTCATCCTTTATAGTTTAAAAAAAAGTATATAGTGCTTGCAGATAAAGGTTATTTCCTATCAGCACTCTGAATTTTAGGAAATGTTCTCCAGAGACTGGAGAAGGCTAAAGGTTGCATTTGCAGTTAAAAGGAAAAGGTTAAGAATTAACAGGTATCTCAGGAGTAAAGATACGACATACAGTCAGGGATTAAATTAAACGACGTCTAGCTCAACCAAACAGATTAACATTCCAATATTTGATGCTGAATTCAGTGCTCAGGTGACTGAATCATTTTTTGAAATTAAAAGATTCTGGCTTGAAAATTCCTTATTTCCCAGATTCAAATTGCTGAAAAGCAGGAACATTGCTTTAGGACTGGAAAATAAAAGACCTACCTAAACAATGGAGAAGCAGATAAGAGTTCTCAATCTTTTCAACTGAAGGCTAATACTAAACTAGATCAGATGCTCAGCAAGTGTAACAGAGAGAAAAGTGAGAAAAGTGCCTACCTTTGTACCAACTGTTATATCTGGGACAATGCTGTAGGAAAAAAAGAAAGAAAAGGATAAAAAGGTTAGATAGGTTTGCCACAATCATCAGCATAGTCACAGCAGTAAGGAAAAAAAGCTAGTCAAAGTGAACAGCTGTCTCCACAAGGAGCAAAGAAGAACTTACACAAGAGCATAAAATGTATCACAGATGTTAGGTGGTGGGAAGGGGAGACCCGAAAATCAAAAACTAAAGGAAATCTTCAAATACCCCACCTAATGCAAAATTTGCACCTTTCTTTTTTCGTAAGGGACAAAGTGAGAAAAGTACCCAAGTACAGGAGAGAAACATAACCAGAATTTGGTTGAAAGGAGGGGCAAGTAAAATTCATAGTTACGATAGTTCTACCAACTACCATTTTGATCTAAAAGTAGTAAGTGTTCAGACTTTTATCCAAATTAAAATTGACTCAGCAATTCAACCAGGATGCTATCTAATGTCATATCCCAAGACTTTTTCATGCCCTTCTCCACAAATTACTGAAGTCTGTATCACAGATAATCCTATTATAACATCTAAAATGACATATAACACAAAACAAGATTTTAGTCAAAACTTGTCTTTTTTTGTAAAAGAGGAAACTGAGGCACAAAGTTTATGTAACTTGCCCAAGTCACAAAGTGGGGCTAGGGATTTCAACCAGGTAACTCTCAGCACTACCCTAATTCCCATACTGAGGCTCCAGGGATCAGCAACTTTACTACTTCCCTTCAGCAGCAGAAACTGGAGAACGAGAGAAGGGGGATATCTGGCCCAGTCACACACATTCAATTCCATTGTACAGAAAAGGAAACTGAGGCCTGAAAAGTAACTACTTCTCTTGGTAGGTAATGTTGGTTTTGATTAACTCAATCAACATGAATTTATTATTCCTGTTGGGAAGTGACTGGCACATATATTTTTTGAAAGAATAAACATTAAAGTGACTAACCCCCGGATACCTCCAACCAGTTGGTGACAAAGCTGAAACTAGAAACTTATCTCTAAAACAGACAACAGATTTTCTGCATATATATATAATGGCCATATCTCAGGACAGTGTGACCTTGTTGAACATCCTACCCCAGCAACTATCTCCTTAAATTATTTTATAAATATTTTCTCAACTTAAAAAGTTCATTAAAAATTATTTCTTCAAATTAAACCTTATTGGGTCCATTCACTTGAGAAAACTGAACAGGTTTTGTCATGGATATACAAGAAACTCATTTGTAGCACTGTTTTTCGAGCCCTTTCCTTTCTAATAAAAAGGTAAAGATGGTTCTGCCATAGATGGCTTGTTTGTTTTCAAAAGAACTATTAATGAGGAGATAGCCCTGGAAAAACCAAAGAAATTTCCTGAGCACTGGAAGTTATCAGAGCCTTTTCATTCAGCTTCCTGTTCCACAGGAGGGCCTGAGACACAGGAAATGTTTTATATAAAGTAGCCTTTATAGAAAATATTCCAATTGTTTCAACAGGAAGAGATTTCAAACTCATCCCCCACCCCAACTGCTGTGATTGGACTCATCAGTTAACAAACCACAGAATATAGTACATTATGTTAAAAGATAAACTCTAAAGTTGATGCTTCATGTAATCTCAAAATTACATGGACTTAATGTAAGTTCCACTCATTTTCCTGTAACATTTAGGCATTTAAAAAAAAACGTGAGGACCTTCCAAAAATGTCAAGTTTTTTCCATTTTCAAAGCCATTTTTTAAAAGTCCACCTAATTCCAGACTCCAGTCAAAACAATATAGTGAAATTTCTTACTCTAAAGACTTATTGGACTTTTCCTCCATAAATATTCTCAAAGGAGAGCTCACTATATCAAATTTCTCAAAACAGAGCACTTTCTGCAATACACACAAAAAGCAACACTAACTTTAACATGAGTTTAAAAACTGTAGGAAAGAGGCAGCGAGATGGCGCAGTGGATAGAGCACTGGCCCTGAATTCAAATCCCACCTCAGACCAAACACTTGCCGTGTACTAGCTGTGTGACCCTGGGCAAGTCACTTAACCCCAAATGCCTCAAAAGTAAAAACAAAAAAAAAAAAAACTGTAGGAGAAAGTCTTAGATAAAAGGTTAAAAATAAAAAAGAATATCCAAAGCTGGATATCCAATATTGTCCATAAGAGTGAGCTTTGTGACTTTCTCCAAGGCTTCATATTCCAAGTTAGTTCAAATTAACATACAAAAATGCAAGACCAAAAAGCTAATTACAATGGTCTTTTTCTGCCAAATGATATTTAAAAGATTTAAGTCAAATCTCTCACAGTTAACTTACTTGCCAGACTATTAGTCTGGCTAAAGTGTAGCAAAAACTTTACGCAACTCAAAACTGGCTGAGCTCCAGACCCACACAAGCTATCCTGTACAATAGCAGAAGGGCCAAAATACTTTCAGATTGCAAAGATAAAGAGATAAGCTTTTTCAAAACTATTACCCACCGAAAATTTTCTTTCCTCTGGTTAATGTATCTTTCTCCTTTTTTCTTCTTTACTGACAATGCATTCAAAAGTTTAAAACTTAGTTTACTTTTTAACTTTTAAAAAGAATGCAACATTTCTTGTTTAGTTTTTCCACTACATAACTCTTGTAAATAAAATTTTAACCTTGGGATAACACTGAACTCGATTCACTTAGAAGTGAATTTTAAATACCACTGTCTGCCTCAAGACACCGGGGCTTGCTTTATTATCATTTGTTTATGTTAGGCTTATTCAAGTCTCTGGAAATACTACATAGTCTACATAAACATCGGGATTCTTTACCTAGTGCAGTTCCAGCTCAGGAGTAAAAACAGCCTCTTAAAGACCTTGCAAAATTCTGAATTCATAAAGTGATGCTACTTCTACTCCTGCTGCTTCTTTCCCATCCCCCCCCCAAAGTCTGTAAAAAGACCCATGGGCATTTAAAAAAAAAAAAGCCACCTCCACGGCGTGGACTGTGTGCGTCCCTGCCTGTGTGTAAACAGCCCTAAACTTAAGGCGGCAATCTAGTCCAAGTTTTCCCACTAGGTAGCCACTACCTGAGTGACCTTAAAGAAGTCGCTTAACCTCTCAGGGCTTCAGATTTCCTTCTCTATGAAAAGTATGGGGCTAGTTCATGAAATTCAATTCAATGCCTAGGAAAGGGCTTTTTCAGCTGTACCAATTTACTTGCCTAATCTTTGGGCAAGTTGCAGAATAAGAAAGTAGGTTTACTACTAAGAAACTTCAGACGTTCTAGTCCAAACTCTTCAGCTTACAGCTGAGGAAACTGAACACTTAAGAGAGTAGATTACTTGCCGAAAGGGGCAGAATTGTGTTGTCAAATCTCTAATTCTATAAAAAGTAGAAATTACTGTTCTTCATACCCCAAAAATCAAATGAAAATGTGAATAAGTTATATTTGATCATAAAAAGTGCCCTACACAAGATAATTGCACGACTGAGAAGGCATTCCAACTAAAGCCATCCAATCTATTCAGATGGTTGAATTTTAATAAGTTTGAAAACATGATTGTCCGGGTCAAAGGTAACGAAATGGATATCAAAGGCTTCCATCTTGGAAAAATTAAAAACCTCTCCCAACCCTGCAGTCCGGCAGGCTCCGTAAGGGGCGTTCCTGGGGAGGCAGGGAGGGGTACAGAGGCAAAGACTACGGTGCCTCCTGCGCTGCTCTCTGGCAGAAAACTTAGAGCAACTCACACCTCAGTGCCTCAGTTTCCTCCCGGGGAAAACAACGAAGCTAAGAATAGGGAGGGGGATGGGGAAAAAGAGCAGCCCCACCCCGGGGCTCCCGCGACGGACAGGCCTCGAGGCCCGGCTTAAGCTGCGACCCAGCAGGGCCGCCCCGCCCCGCCCCGCCTCGGTCCCGTCTCCTTCCGGACAGGGCGGGTCACCCCCCAGCCCCACCCGCCCGGGCCCCGGGGAGCCTAAGCCTCCACCCCGGAAAGGCGCACGCTGGGCGGGTGGGGGCGGGGAGGGCCAGAGTCCAGGGGCGGGAAGGCGGGAGGGGCCCAGAGCGCGGAGGAGAGCGGGAAAGGCCGTGGCGAGGCACGAGGAGGCAGGCACCGCGTGGGGCCGCGAAAAGGGGCGCCAAGAGCTCGCAACCGGGAGGGAGGAGGGAGGCGCGCGCGAGAGGCTATGAGGAATAAAAAAAAATCGAAAACGAGGCTCAAGGAGTGAGGGGGAAGAGGAGGGAAAGAAGGGCTCCCGCAGCGAAGCCCAGGCTCGCGCCGGCCGCCCCACCACGCACGCGCGCTCGGGCTCCCGAGGGGGGGAGGGGAGCCGTTTGTCCCCCTAACCCCGAAACGCGCGAGGCGGCCCGCGCCCCGCACACACAGATCTCCGCCTCCCCACGGTCACAGCACCCGTCCCAAACTCCGGCGGCACCCGACCCGCCTCGGGAGCGTGACTAGGGCGGCCATGAGGAGCGAGCGCTGGCGGCCCCCGCGGCGCTGCCCGCGGGTCAGGCGGCTGAGGGAAAGGAGCGCCCGGCAAAAGCCAAGTCCGCGGCAGCAGTGGACAGAAGTATTCTGGGGGGTGAAAATAGGGCTTACCCGTCCATGGCACACGAGGAGACCCGAAGGGAGCGGAGTGGAGGCGCCGGAATAGCAGGAACCGACTCAACGGCTCCGTGTTATAGACTCACAAAATGGCGGAGACGCCCCGACCACGTCCCCCGCGCGCCCTGCCCATTGGCTCCGACTGAGGAGAGGGGGCGGGGCGAGGTTTGCAGTCACCCGCCAGGATTGCCAATTCGTTGCTATGTCTCCTGGAGGGTGGGACCAAAAGAAAATAGAGAGAATCATTAGACCGGATGGCTGCCTGTCAATCCCCAAGGTGGAAACAGCCTGTAGGAACGAAAAAAAGGTCGACCCACGTGATCGTCCATGAGCCACTGAACGGCCATCTTGAGTGTGGTTTTGTGGGTTAACGGTAGCCATCTTGAGAGTGGGTACGTGGCGACTGAGAGAGCGGGAAGCGTGGTGCCCGTTAGGGCGGCCATCTTGTCTAGGGGCAGGAAGCTCAAAGTTCCCCATCTTGGGTGCTAAGAAAGCAAGTCCTCGTCTCCAAGCGTGTGGCGGCCATATTATGTGTGGGCAAGGGACTACCCTGTGGCCATTATCATTGTGGGAAAACGGCCCAAAAAGAAGTCTTTAGACTCCACCAACCCCCTCCCTATATTACATCGTGTTGGAGAAACTGCTGATCGGGCCTACAGTCTGGAACCCAGTAGTCTGTGAGACACAAGTGGAAAGTTGGCTTGTGAAAAAGTTTGAAGCCAGCCCAAGACACAGATGGGCAGTGGTGATGCCAGCAGTTACTAAGCCAAAGTCCTGGGGCAGGAGAGCCCAGGGAGGCCCTCAGAAGGAGGAATGTCAGAAGTGGGAGGGCCCCTAGAACAGAGAATGTCAGGGCTGGGAGGGCCCTCAGAACACAGGATGTCAGAGGTGGGAGGGCCCTTAGAACACAGGATGTCAGAGGTGGGAGGGCCCTTAGAACACAGGATGTCAGAGGTGGGAGGGCCCTTAGAACACAGGATGTCAGAGGTGGGAGGGCCCCTAGAACAGAGAATGTCAGGGCTGGGAGGGCCCTCAGAACACAGGATGTCAGGGCTGGGAGGGCCCTTACAACACAGGATGTCAGGGCTGGGAAGGCCGTTAGAACATGGGATGTCAGAGGTGGGAGGGCCCTTAGAACACAGGATGTCAGAGGTGGGAGGGCCCTTACAACACAGGATGTCAGAGGTGGGAGGGCCCCTAGAACAGAGAACGTCAGGGCTGGGAGGGCCCTCAGAACACAGGATGTCAGAGGTGGGAGGGCCCTTACAACACAGGATGTCAGGGCTGGGAAGGCCGTTAGAACATGGGATGTCAGAGGTGGGAGGGCCCTCAGAACACAGGATGTCAGGGCTGGGAGGGCTCTCAGAACACAGGATGTCAGAGGTGGGAGGGCCCCTAGAACAGAGGATATCAGGGCTGGGAAGGCCCTCAGAACACAGGATGTCAGGGCTGGGAGGGCCCTTACAACACAGGATGTCAGGGCTGGGAGGGCCCTTAGGACACAGAACATCAGAGATCATAAGATCTTTAGAATAGAGAATGTCAGAGCTGGTAGGGGCCTTAATAATAGCATATTTACCTAGTGATTTAAAATTGTAAAGTGCTTTACATTCACAACTCCATGTGATCCTCAAACTCACCCCCCATTGCCAAGATGTTGCCAAGGCCTACAGATTTCACCTTTGTCCCACCTCTTGATCACTCCCCTGTCTCTCCTCTGATACTGTCGCCCCTCCAGTGAAGGGCTTCACTTCATACCTGGACTATGGCAATAGCCTGCTGGTGGGTCTGCCTGCCTCAAGTCTTTCTCTAATCCATCCCCCGTTGAGCACCTAAAGTGATCTTCCTAACCAAGGTCTCACTAGCACACCCAGCCCCCAACTCAAAAAACTCCAGTGTTTCCTTATCACCTCCAGGATCAAATACAGAGTGCTCTGTATTTGATTAGGAGGCCCTTCGTAATCTAGCCTCCTCCTCCCTTTCCAATCCTCTCACACCTTATTTCCCCCCATATACTCTTCAATCCAGTGACGTTGATGTACTAAGTGTTCCCCAAACAAGACATTCTCTTAACTCTGTGAATTTTCACAGGCTGCTCTCCCATGGCTGGGACAATCTCCCTCTTCATCTCAACCTCCTGATTGGGCTGGCTTCCTTAAAGTTCCAGCTAAAATCCCACCTTCTATAGCAATAGGGTCAAACTCTAATGAGAAATGGGAGCCACTAATTCATTCACAAGGATCCATGAGGGACATAGATTGACAGTTTTTTTAAATGTATTAAGTGTTTTTTATAGTTTTACTTATTTTGTTAAACATTTCCAAATTGCCTCCTAATCTGGTTCAAGCCTCAGTCAGAAATGGTGCCTGAGTGGTTGACAACTCTGTTCTACAGGAAGCCTTTCCAGTTCCTTAATTCTAGCTCCTTTCCTTTTCTGCTTATTTCCAATTTATTTTTCATATATCTCGTTTGTACCTTGTGAGGTGTACATAGCATATGGCTGCCCCTCCATTAGAATGGGAGTATGGAGTGTCTTTTGCCTTTCTTTGTATCCCTAGTGCTTACTACATTGCCCTGGCTCATAGCAGGCGTTTAAGAAAATGTTTATTGACTGACAGGTAAAATACTATTGCTATCTCCATTTTATGGGTAAGGAAACTGAGCCTGAGAGGTTGAGTAATTTGCCCTTGGTTACACGACTAATGTCTAAGGAAGAATTTAAACCCAGGGCTTGACCAGGTCTGGAGTTCTTCCCACCAGGCCAGCCATACTTCCTCTCTAACAGAACATAGAAAGTCAGAGCTGGAATGAATCTTAGAGACCTTCTACTCCAACCTCATTTCCTCATTTCATAGAAGAAGAAATTGAGACCCCAGAGAGGACTCCCCAAATCCTATAAAGAGTCAGTAGTAGCCTAATGCTAACACCTCTTCTGAGGTCTGCCTATCTTAGGCTTTCCTAAGCAGCTCACCAGCTGAGCAGCTAAAACTGAGAACCCTCACCCCAAAGGATTGTGCTTGTGGGGCACGGCACAGAACCCAGACGGCTCCTCCACAGCGTTCTCAAGCAGGGCACTTAACTCCATCATCACATTAGTGGTGCTAGCCTGAGAGAAAGGTTCTTAACTTGGCCTCATCTTTGTAGTTGAGGCAGGAGCCAATACTTGGCCCAACAGACAAAGAGAGCCAGGTTTTTTGTTCTGCCACTAACTTGCTGTGACATTCAGCAAAGTCTGAGTATCATTGTATTCACCTATATAATGAGGGCCCTCAAGAAGATGAGTTTATTCCTTCATTTTAAACATAAAGTGAAATATAACTTCCATTCTGACTCTTACAGATATTGGGCTTGCCCAGACAGGGGATGTGAAGCAGGTTACCTGAGTCTTTTGCTCTTTCCAGTGGAGATAAAAGTGTCGAATTCCCTTTTATAAACTATTTATGCTCAATGATATCTCTGACGCCCCAAGGGTCTTTTAGTCCATATGTTAACTGTGTATTAGGAAAAAAATGGCACACCCTACTTCAAGGATGGTTGAGCTCCAGTTTCTTTCCGCAGCCTATTTGGGTCCTGTCTCTTTAGAGATTTCTTTGTTTCCCCTGAAATTCTACAGCCCACTCCCTTTTTATCTTCTCCATCCAGAATGGTCAAGGTAGTTCTTAATTTACATCCCTGCTCACAGTTCTGTCTTGGTATCAAAATATCTCCCTTTTAATAAATGTTGAAAAATAGTACAAAGGCGTCTCGAGGGGAAGACCAGGGTAGTGTGTAGGTTATCCGTCAAACCCCTTAGCAACAGACTTCTCTTGGGGGAAGGAGGGGAGAAGGGAAGCTCCCAGGGTCAGTATTCATGTTTTTACCCACCAAGGTGTCTTATTTTTCCTATAAAGAGCTCACTTCAGGCAGCCTGTCCGCCAGCTCTTCCTCTCAGAGGAGCCTTCTCCTTGCTCCCTGAACCTAATACTGACTCAATTCTTCAAATGCCAAAGTAAAAGTAGTTTATTTATTTACCATTTTACCAGTTTATGTAACAATTTACCAGTTTAACAGTTTATTTACCATTATTTTGGTACTTTGGCTATTTGGATGCAGAAGACAAGAGCACTTCATTCCTCAGGGATGGGAGCCCTGAGAAGAGGCTCCCCTAAAGTAGTACGAATGCTTGCCTAACCATCCTGCCACTCTGGAAGGCTTTGACCCTAGACCTAACAAGAGTTGTCCCCATTTGGAATCCGTGGGAAAGGGGGGGAAGAAGGGAGAACTAGCTCTGGAGCATGTCGGAATGGAGGTCACCTCCATCTTGAAGCCTTCCTTGATAACTCCCCTTGACCCTGACTGGGATCAGAAATGATTTTTCCTCCCTCTGACTCAGGGCAGTATGTTGTTCTTGTTCATTTGTCCTTTCTATTTTGGCTTTTAATTATTTGTGCCCATGTTTTTGGGAAAAACTTTGAGGACAGTGAAGGGTAACAAGCCTAGTTAGTAACTATTGTCAGGAGACATTGTGGTATATGGAAGAGACCAATGGAATCAGAGACCTGAGTTCTAATCCTCCATCAGATATTGTCAAGATGTGCGATTGGGTAAACTCTATAACCTCTCTGATTCTCAGCGTTCTTATTTATAAAAATAATAGCACAAACCTCCCAGGGTTGTTGTGATCAAATGAGAGGTAAAGTTACCGGTAGACATAAATACATGCATGTGTACGTGTATGAATGCATGTATGTATGAATACCTTGTATTGCATTGTGCTGTGGGGGGTATTTTCTGTACTATGTGTTACATATGTGTGTGTCTATACAATTGTTTGAATCAGACCTGTGATTTGATCAGCACAAGGAGCTCCAGGTAAGGAAACTCTCCCTAATCAATGTAGAATGAGGCACCTTCTCTGTAACTAAAAGTCTTAGAAAGCTGCCTGGAGCCTGGGTGTCAAGCTCAAACAGAAATGAGGATAGCTAAATCATACAGAAGGACCTCTGAGGGCCACACATTACCTTAGAAACCACCCATGTTCATGTATTTCTTTTTTATTGTTATTGCTACATCAATACATTAAAATCAGGTAGGAGGGGCAGCTAGGTGGTGCAGTGGATAGAACATCGGCCCTGG